CCCCCCCCCCCCCAAAAAAAACTCGAGATAATTAAACAATCTAAAAGAAGTTATAAAATATCTATGTTTAAAATGATTAAATAGACAAAAGATGGAATAGAAATATGTAGAATAAACAGGACAGTTTAAAAAGAATAGGTAAATTTTCAAAAGTAACAATTAGCATACCTACAAATGGACAAAACATTTATGAAATAAAAATCTCAATGGATGATGCTGTCACAATAATGCTATTGCCGCAGGTCCTGAGAGGCATACAGCAAGCATTCCCAGCTCTGTGCTTGGGACCAGCTGGGGCTGGCTAGGCGACCTTGTTGATCTGGGCTGGGCTTGCACACTCCTGGGGGCTCAGCTGGCTGTGGGATGATCTAGGTTGGCCCCAGCTGGGGTGCCGGCGTACCAGTGCTCTGTTCTACCTGTTTCTTACCCTCCAGCACACTAGCCTGGGCATGTTATTATGACAATGGTAGACAAGGGCATGGACAATTGGCATACTGTCACTTCTGCCTCATTTTCTTGACCAAAATAATGACATGACCAAGCCCAGAGTCAAGGGGGCAGTCTAGGTCACCCGATTTGTGGTAAGAAGGCATTACATTGCACTGCTTAGTTATGTGGGTGTGGATACAGAGAGGAGTGAAGAATTGAGGACTTTACTGTGGTTTACCACAGATGGGCTAAAGAGCTGGTTAAGCACACTTACAGAGTGAATGAAGAAGAAAAATCTGAGAAAATTTCTCATTGTGTAGCAGAGAGACACATAGAATATATGAAAGAGAAGTTAAGAGAAGAGACTGAGAGGGCCTAACATACATCTAATAGGAGTGCCAGAAGACGATAACATATTCAGGGAAGAAATAGTAAGAATTTTCTAGAATTGATAACAGACATGCTTTCTCATAATTTGGAAGCACAAGGATCCCTGAGAATAATTTATTTTTTTAAAAAGTCACCTAAACACACTTTAGTAGAACTTCAGAATACAAAGAGAAAATTTAAAAGCCACCAGAAAGAAGAGACAGATTACTTACTGAAATACAAGTAGATGAAAGCAGACTTTTCATCAGCAGCAATAGGTACCAGACAACGATGAACTAATACCTATGAGTGCTGAGGGAAAATAACTGTCAATCTAGAATTCTATACCATGCTAAATAGTCACTCAAAAATTAGGGCAAAACAAGGACAGTTTTCAGGCAAAGGCCCATGCTGAAGAGCTATTATGTAATGTGCTTTAGAAGGAAAGAAATTAAACCTGGAAGGAAGGAAGGAGATCTAAGAAGCAATGGTAATCAAGAAAATCAGCAGACATGGATAATTTAAATTATCATTAACTCCAAACAGAACAGTAACCATAATGATGAATGGGGGAGGCATGAAAACAAGGTAGATGGAGTTACTTCATATGAAAAATGTGAAGTAGTAATTAGAGTTAAAGTATTCCAAGTTCCTTGTGTTATACAAGAGTAAAATATAGGTATTAATTAACCTTAAATTTTGTTAAGTCAAATATGCTTGTTAAAAGGAAAGGGTAACCATTAAAAGAACAGAAATAGAATATATAACTTACAATGCAGCAGAAGAAAATTGTGTCTATAGAGAACCTAATCATTCTACAAAAGGTAGGAAAGAAGTGAAAAGAAGTGTGTGTGTGTATAAAAATTAGAACCAAAATAAGATAGAAGAAATAAGTCAAAATATATCAGTAATTACAATATTTGTAAATGTATTAAATGCATATAAAAGACAGATTTTTGAAAATCCACTTATGTGTTGTCTACCTAATAAACTCCTAAAGCATAATGACATGGAAAGTTTGGAAGTAAAGAAAAATATATTCATATATAACCAACAAAGGATTATCTATCATATATAAAAACTCCTTTAATCAGTAAGACAAAAATGAAAACTTCAAAAGAAAAATGGGCTCAGAATATGATCATTCACAGGAGAAGAAACTGGAATGACCACCACGCATATATAAAGATGTCCAACCATACGGTGTTGATTATCTACTATGAACAATTTGTTATGAAAGTTGGTCACACTGGATCTACACACCGGTAAGATGAGAGAATCAACCTAGACTAGTCGCTGTCAGGGGTCTTGGGGAGATGTCCGCTGTGTCACAGGCATGCCAAACAGAGAGGGAAGAAGGTAGCAGTGCGAGGTTCCACAATTCTATTTGGAGCAAAGTTCCAGTTTCTAACCAAACCACACTAGTAAGCAGAGAAACACAAAATAAAGCCAAGAAGTGTCATTTTACAATGATCACATTGGCAAAAGAG